GGCCTGTTTCCCTGGGATCGCTACAGTAGTTCGGATATCTCTCTCTGTATAATGCTTAATCTAGATTCAAATAAGTCAGTTCCGATACCAGCTAAGAACACAATTAAGATCTAAAATAAATTGAAGTTAAAGTGCCTTCTGGAGTAGAACGCCTTTTTGGCTAAACAAAGAATGTACTTATTTTACGAAGCCAAGCTTCTCCTAAGGTCTATCGGGAAAGGTTTAAAAATGAGGCCGTTAAACGAAAACTTGCAATCAATGTGACCAAAGCCTTGCAATATTATCAAAAAATAATAACCTATTTCTATGATATTTTTATATCTACTGCGACCATACCAGAGGCCACAATATCTTGGTCTTCATATCTTCAATTTATATCTACTGTTGGGTTTTAATTTCATTTGAAAATCTCCACATTTTTTGGTGGAATCATATCCTCTCATTAATTTTTTGGAATAAAATTACATGCCCACTTGGTTAATTATTTCTCTATAGAGTGTAAAAATCAAGGAATCCCCTTAAAAATAACTTTTAGCAAAAGTGAATTCCTATTCTATTAGACAAGGTAGGAATCTCAAAAGCAAATTTATACTGTTAGGTCTCACATAGAAACAGCATATGGACAGGAGTATTAATAATTCAAACTTGGGTTCGAAGGGGTTCATGTTTATCTTACCCAGGTATTAGTTGATTCCGCCCTTGAAGTTTACGCTGCGATCGTTTGCCCACACCAGCCGCCCGATTATTCCTTCCTAAGCGATTCATCTGACCCTTATTCTCATCGCCCTCCTCACCAGGCTTTCCCATGCTTTCTTGTTCGTCGTCATCTTCGTTTTCGTCTCCCTCATTACCCTCTTCGTCGTTGTCATCGCATTCGTCTTCCCCATCCTCGTCCTCAATATCATCATCTTCGTCATCTCCCCCATCTTCTTCGTCATCCTCATCCTCATCCAGTTCAGAACCAAGCTCGTCCTCATGCCCTTCAAAGCCAACGCCATGACTCTGCTGCCTCCGACGAACTCCGGCGTCGTGAGGGCTCCTGACACCACTTATATCGTCCTCTTCCTCACCTCCCTCTTCGTTATCGTCCTCTTCATTGTCGTCATTATCATCATCATCCCCATCTGCCAGATGATGAAGGCCATTTACCGCCAGAGTTCGCCCACCTCTAGCTGCACTACGATGCATAGCTTTTCTACGAGTATGCTAAAAACAAGAAAAGATATAAAGCCATTTACCACATTGACAAAGCTAGCATTCATCTTTCACACTGCGTCGGGACTACCACTGTATCGTGTGTACAAATTAAAAGCAAAAGGTAACATTAAAGGATGGGCAATAGGCTTTAATGCGGTTTGTATTATTGCCAGAAAGCTCACTTTGAGAATCCCAAAACAATTAGTCCATTAGACTTTATCACTCACTTGGAAGGGACAGCAAAGTGCTCTATGGACAAGGAGCACCAGGTTGAGGAGTTTAGCAAGTTTTTTAGAAGCTGATTTT